TATAGTTATTTGAAAGTCAAACATTAAAATAGTGCACTTGTTAAGATCACTAAAAAATATTCAAAATGTTTTGAAAAAATCCTTATACAACTGCAAAGCCCTTTTTAAAAATAGTGAAGCTCTGCAACCCAACAGGAAAAGGGAAATACTTTGGAGATAGGCTCTTGTATGTATGCTATAGTGAGCCATGACATCAGGGTTATTATTTTCCCCTAAGGTAAATGTCTTATCTTACAAACTCTTCCTTTGCCACAGGCCTCAGGCCCCACAGATAGCAAAGCATTTGAGTTCTCAATACCCAAGAGGTCTAATAGGAGCTCTACTCTTACACCCCACTGACAGTCAACTTCTATCATTCTGTATTTGTTGTCCCCTTTCACCAGTCAGAGGAACTTCCCTCCTGTGCTTCTCCAAACATCTTTGAAAGGCAAGGTGTACCCTTTCAGCAGACCTTTTGCAGGCTTCTCCTTCTGCTGTAGTCAAATTTCTATCCTGTGCTGGGGCCAGATTTCCAAAATGTGTCGATTAAGCAAAAACTTCCCACTGAGAAAAATACCTGCCACTGATCTTCAGCCCTAGTGAATCTCTTCCTGAAGAGTTCATATGGTGCTGCCTGATAAGAGATGTAGGTGTTCCATGACCCCTTAACCCATGCTTTTTTACCAATCTTTGCAATCTGACTCCTAAAGTTCAAACAGATGGCAATGCATATTGGTTATCATATTTATTATATAGGAAATAAACTAAATGTCCTACTACAAGTTACTACAAGTTACCCAGCATTTACACTGTAATAATAGATGAAAACAAATGATAAAAAGATACTACGAAGTTGAAATATTAAGTCACCATTGAATATGCATATTTTAAGCACAACCCCTTTTAAGAAGGGTTGCTACTCCTGTCCAGCATGAGAGTGAGACTGTTAGATGAAAAAGCTGATAAGTAGAAATACAATTATTTTATAAGTATTCTATTAGAGCGTGAATTGTGAAATTAATTTTAAAGAAAAACTTGGAATATGCTACCTACATTTCTTACTATTAAGGGACATAGAGTAACAGAAATAAATGGTCATGCTTGGTTTTGCTTACCAGAATAATTACTACTAAGGATACATAATTAAGGGTCATACTTACAATATGATCTGTTTTAAATTAAATATATAATAATACCAGTTAAAGCATTCCTGTGTATTTCTCTTTACTATAGGTAATGACACATGTATTAACATGATTAAATGGCCACGTCTTAAAAATAACTGCAGCATATACTTTTTCTGTATTACAGAAAAAGTATAATACCTTAATAACGTAATAAAACTTCTAACTATAATATCAGAGATATACCAGAGATATACCAGAGAGATATACATTTTTAAGTACACAGGTTGAAAGCAGAGACCACTTCTAAGTAGTGGTTACATGCAAATAGTACCTTTCTATAAAAATTCAGTATTCACATGCAACAATTCCTTCTCTTAGTGCAAGTCAAAGTGCAAAGTGGATCATGTTGTGCACTTGTTTAGGATTTTTACAAGTGTAAATATATTATAACAGAAATCCCAATGCAAAAGAGAAATATCAAAAATCATACATATCAAAAATATATTTGAGCTGAGAACACTTACTCGTGTAATACACTTTCAGAACCAACGTAATGGAACTAAACAACCATTTAAAATTGAAAAGTAAAGAAACACTTTGTTTAATGCATACATCTAATCTTTGCTTGGCTTTATACTAACTTAATAGAATTCTGATTAAATTCTTTTTGTGGTTGTGGTCTTAAACTAGACCAAATTGGGGTTTCAAGATCCTTTCACAGAACTCCTTACCTGAAACATATAACCTGGCCAAAGGAAATTAGTTTGGAAATAAGTGTAGCATTGGTGCTAAACATGTCATTACTGCGGAGAGGAGAGAGGACCATTCAAGCTCCAGAGCAGCATCAAGAATGTCAGCTTCCAGACTTACTTACAACAGAAGTTTCACATTGGCCCCAATCCACAGTATGTTTAAGTAATTAATACTCATTTCAGCCAACCATCATTCTTTGTCTTCAACAGACATCCCAATGGAATATAAAGATTTGTCTCATTCTTCTCGCCCTTCCTCACACAACTGACAAACATGGTAATTTCATCCAATAGTAGTAGTAGAGAATCTCATACAAGCTACTATGTCATCTTCAGTTTGTTGGTTCTGGTTTCATCTAAAGGAAGACTTTAAAAGAAGAGGATGTCAAGAAGTTATTGAGCTGCCAAGAAAAATATATAGGTTTGACACATGGTATCTACGGGAAAGACTGTACAGCCTCAGATGCTGGTTTCACTTCAAAAGTCCATTGATAAAAAATTAAAAGTGAGGAATATTCTATAGAGAAAGTCTGAAATTTTGTACATAGTTATTCAGTTTGATAGGACTAAAAGGACTTCTCCTAAGGGATTTTGCTAGATATCTCTCAATGTACCCCACAATATATGAGACAACACTACAGAAAACTATAAACACTTTTTGGCACATAGAGAACATTTCAAAAGCTATGGAAGTTGTGTCAATTATTTAATTGGAAAGAACAGGTTTGCCAGTTAGTGATAAAGCTGAAAATACACATGAACAATTATTTTCCAAACCCAGGAAAAATAAACATGGAAAAACTCATCCAGATTTTGAGTTGACCAGAAGCCAAGTAATGGCTTGATGCTGCACTGATTTCAGTATCTTGGAGGGATATTCACAAAGTTTTTATTAAATACATGAGTAAATAGACTTTTTGTAACAAAATGTGTGTGTCTCACAAAAAAAAAAAAAAAAAAAAGGAAAAAGAAAAAAAACAGCAATGTGACTTTTCAGGAAGCAACAGATACATTCTACAAACTAAGTAATGTATTTCAGTCTGATAGAGTCACACAAGACAGCAAAGAGTAGAAATAGTGGCCTGATCCTATGAATACAACTTGCCAGAGTTACCACTTTGCAAGTCCCGTTTTTCATTCATTTTTCAAATTCTTGCCTCATGTGTACTTTATTAAAAGCTCTTAATTTAATTTTCACCTGTTTACGCTTTCAACAACTTCACTTTCACACTGAGATGGCTGCCATGGTATCAAGCACTAAATAAAATCTTCAGCTTAGTAACAGATCTTTTCTTACTAATACTTTCAATAACTCACCTTGCATGGCAGACCTACGGTGACTCATTGACATTCCTGGGCCCCTAAATGAGTTGAACTGTTCTCTCAGGAGAAGAAATAGGACTGTCTTTGTCTGGGCACAACAGATAGAATCATTCGTCAGGAATCTTTGAAATATGCCTTCCTTTTCCAAAAGAAACTGATTTGTCTCCCTTTGCTTCAGACTTTATCAGAGCAACTTGGTCAAAACTCTTAGCAACTCAAACAATGGTATCTATAATCAGTTGAGACTCAGCTGCAGAATTATTTTTGGCTCATAAGGGAAAAGAGCTAGATTACCAGTCCCTTCATCCATGATGACTGCAACTGATTTGGCAGCTTTAACTTCACTTTCAAAACTAACCTCTCTGATAACCCCCTGAAACTAAATTTTTTTAACAAACAAATTAGCAAATTTTGGCTGCCTCTAAATTAGCAGGATCCAGATTGCATTGTATAACTCTGTTTGTATGGAAATCTCTTGACCTATTTACATCTCCCTTTCTGACTCAGGTTTCTCGTTGGTGGTTGTGATTAAAAACGAAGTACAGCAATCATGTTGAATTAAAATAAATTAAAGCTGTGCACTTTCCCAATTAGGCCTTTTGTGGGATGACTTTCAACAGGAAGACAGGCCCATCTATCACTCTGAAGTGCAAATACATTTTAAAAGCTTCATTCTCTCTTATAATTTAAAATTTCATAATTAGTTATCATGGGTGTGGTTGGAGTTGCAAAATGTTGTCTCCTTATGGGTGCCGAGCTGGAGCACTTGAATCTACAACAGAGTCACTAGTTTTGAAGGGCTGGCAAGCCCTGAGTTAAACTCCAAGACAACTATCACCTTGTGAATAATCACATATATGACTTGAATTTGAATTGTTAATTATGTACTGTGTTTATTTCTGTGCCTCAGCTTCTCTCCCCGTATTACTTTAAAACCAACAAATGAATCTAAGTTTCATTCTTCATTTATACAAATACAATTTTAGGCATAAGAATATTACCATACATTTTTAAAAGCCAAAAATAAAATTACCTTCTATTTAAGTACATGGAGTATTATGCATTGTCACAGTACATTACATGGACTGGATGCTTAACATGGAACTGTACTAATCCTTATGGCAAACATAATAACAAAAGAAAGTTGTTCCGAGATTTTTCTATTTTTGTTTTTAAAAAAATAACAAAAACCTTTCCAGTGAGGGACCACATGGAAAACTATGGTTTCTCTGCACAAAGACCAAGGCTGCTTATTACCTACAGTACACTAGCTATGATGAACAGACCACCATAGTTGTGACAACTGATGTTGCTGCCTCCAGGGTAAAACAAAGGTTTACATATTACACAAGCAATTTAACTGTTTTCTAAACATATTGCCAAGACAGTGGGAGTTGGCAGCCAGCACTATGTTTTAGGTTTTGGATACTTGGATTAGAAGTGACTGCTGATTATAGACCTTTTTATTCGTCTTCTGTGAATTACAAGCAACCTAGTAACCCAGCAAAGAATCCTTCACAGCACTTAAACTTGTCTTCATGGCTTCCTAAAGATTACATACACAAATCACTCCACAAAAGTGGTGCAACAGACTTGTGCACAAATAACTACATAAGGCAATTGTCTTGTTCTAACTCTTAAAGACTTCCCCAAAGTGAAATGTTTTATAATCCTTTTTGTGCAGTAGTCAGGAAAGAAATAAAAGAGTTTGGGGGAAAGATTATCCACAAGAAAGAAACTTTTTTTTTGGGTTCCAGCTGAAACACAATAAAGAACATAATTAACTTCACAATTCTTTGTGTTTTTCATTTGACTGCAGGGAGGAGATGAAAGAGGACTGTTAAGCCTTGCATTCCATCCCAATTACAAGCAAAATGGAAAGCTGTATGTGTCTTATACCACCAACCAAGAACGGTGGGCTATTGGACCTCATGACCACATCCTTAGGGTGGTAGAATACACAGTATCCAGGTATTAGTAAAAGTCTAAAATTCACGAATTCTGTATTTCTTAGCAACCCTTGCATTTTGGTATTTCCCATTTCTAAGATGAACTATCAGGTTTACAGTGCATATACTTGGGCACCTGCAGAAAAACTATTGTGGGTTTTATTTCAAATGGTAGTTCTGAAATGCCAGTAAGTACACTGTTTTTCCTTTCTAAAATATGTATTTTTTTTTTAGTTATTCTGTCATTTTTTTAAATTATAATTATTTCCTACTTATTGTATATAGGCAGCAGAATAATTTTTTGTGAACACTCCAAAATTGAAATTTCTCAGAAATAACTGGCATTTTTCCACCAAACTACAACATCCACATCTCGAAGTACAATTTTAATGAGTCAAGTTTATATTTAGAAAGAAGTACATAGACAGTGAACTGTGAAAACTGTGCTCATATCTTTATCTTGCAGGAAAAATCCACACCAAGTTGATATGAGGACAGCAAGAGTGTTTTTAGAGGTAGCAGAACTACATCGAAAACATCTAGGAGGACAGCTTCTGTTTGGCCCAGATGGTTTCCTGTACATTTTTCTCGGAGATGGCATGATCACTCTAGATGACATGGAGGAGATGGATGGTTTAAGGTACAAACACTACCAATGGATAGACTTCTATTATTGTCTTTGCACAGTATTTAGGGGTTGCACAGTATTTGGGGTCAGAATCCAAAGAGATCAGCAGTTGTCAGGGCAAATCTTGCTCCCTCTTCCTTTACTAAATATTCCTCCTTATTTCAGTGCCTGGGTTTAGCAAACTGCTGATTTTCAGGACAGTCTGAGTGCTTAAATACGTCTTCTTGTAGTTCTTTGCTGTCAAACCATTGAAATACCAGAGTCCTCATCAGTAAATGCAATTTTGCTAAAGCGCAGTTTAGGCTTCTGTTTTCTGAACTATTGTTCTATGAACAGGACACCTGTATTGAGCAAAGATTCCAAAAAGTGTCTACAAACACATACCAGAGTCAATAATAACAACTCATCACTTAGGAAAATGTCCAGGGAATGTATGAAGTAATCCTACTTTGGTTCTACCTTTACAATTTTCCCAACCTGCTTCCCTCTGTTTCCTTATGCTCTGAGTTGCAATATTTGTCTTAATTTAGAGAAGGTGTGGTACTGAGCCTTTACAGACCTAAAAGGAGTTGCTGTTCAAAGGCCTCTTTGGCTCAGCAGAATTGCAGATGCTCCCGTGATTTTTAAGTTATTTTTAACTATAAGGATATACTTAAAACCCAGGGCAGAGGGCAATACTAATACTTGGTTTTAAATTAATTAAATTACAAGAGAAGACTGAAACAAATTAATGATGAAGAAAGACAGAAAGGAATCAATTTAAATATCACATCTTTTCATGTTTATAAAGAGAGTCCTTCTACTTCTCCTTTCTTCCATCACAGTCATGAACATAAGGTAAAACATTTTACTGTCTCCTATTTCATATAACAAAGTTCTGAATCCTTACAGAAAAAAAAATCAACATTTCCATTCAAGCAATACAATTTATTTATTGCTTGCTTTCTTTCTATGTAATTAGTTTGTACTTTGACTAGAAATCATTGAATTCAAGAGTAGGATTCAAAGTGTTAGCAAAAAGTGTTAAGCACAGTTACTCTGGAGGAGATATTTGAAGCCATAAAACAATGCTGATGTTTGGAAAGTTGTTCTTATGATCAAGTTGCTTCCAACAGCATGGTCAGAGGTGTTCTAGTATGCACATAACAAGGCAACATATTGGCCACAACTGAATCTTGAACAGGCTCTGCTATTATTTTTTGGACTTGCATGTACCATAAAATCAATCTATATGTTTAATAATAAGTAAAAGCAGGTGGTTTATTTTGCTGGCTCACTATAGTACTCACTATAGTATTATGTGGATTAAATCTACCAGTAAAATACTTTTAAAAGCCCAATTATTTTATCCTCCACCTTTCTCAGTGATTTTACAGGCTCTGTATTGCGCCTCGACGTAAATACTGACCTGTGCAATGTCCCTTATTCCATACCACGGAGCAACCCACATTTCAATAGCACAAACCAGCCTCCTGAGATTTTTGCACATGGACTCCACAATCCAGGCCGGTAAGTAAGTTACGGAATTACTGAATTACTCTGGAGTAGATACTGTTTTCAACCCGAAATTTTTTCTACAGTCAGGTAATGACATTTTAATAATAAAGGCACTTGTGAACTTTTTAAATCTTCCACTTCTCCTTCTCCACACATATGTAACAGAAACAAATTTACATTGGCAAAGGGGAAAGAGAAGAGCATGCACAACTACTAAAAATCAAGACCAAAATGACAGAAATCAAGTATCGCATTTTTGTTTTTAATGAACAATAAAAGAGAAAATGAAAGAAAAGAGCTTCAAGCAGAGTGTTGGTAAAGTACAGCTGAGATGGGAATCTTAACTGGGAATAATAGGTATGTGGAAAACAAATGAGAACATCTGGTGATATCTAAACAATAGCAAGGAGGAGAACAATGCTTTAACTAAACACATAATTCAGCAAATTAGGTGGGTGGTAGTACTGAAGTGACATTTAAAGTCATGGTTTGAAAAAAATCAGAAAGTCATGTTGTTCAGATAAGGAGTTGATTCTTGGACTTTTTAACAGTCCGAAATTCCTACACCATATAAGTCAATTCACTTTGCTTGGTTAAGGCACTATTCATTGCAGGTGCTATAGAGCAGAGTCCATTTTATCACTAGGAAAAAGTAGTTTTACTTCAGATTATATAAAAAGTGGTGAAGGAATGGGAAAGTTGTAATATCTCTTGGATATGATTCTAACACATTCCCGGATGTCTTGGCTCAGTATAAAATAGGTCCCTCACATGAGTAGGCACCAAAAAGAAACAATAATATTTTAAACTGTGATGCTTCATACTATTTAAAATTATACATTATGAACTCATCTATTTTATGGATTTTCTTCCTTTTTTTTTTTTTTTTTCTACAGGTGTGCTGTGGACCGCCATCCAACTGATGTAAACATCAATTTAACTATACTTTGTTCAGATTCAAATGGAAAGAACAGATCTTCAGCAAGAATCTTACAAATTGTAAAGGGCAAAGACTATGGTAAGTTCCATCCAGGGTAAAGTTGCTGGGAACAGTCAGTTTTTATGCCCATGGAATAATAAATAGAAAGCAGAAGAGAATAGATGAAGGGCTGTGTAGCCATGATAGGACAGATAACCTACCAATGACAGAACTTCTGAAAAGTTCCATCTTTTCAGGGTAGAACTTCAAGGTACAAGCAGATACAAGATTCAGGACAAAACACAATTTACATGACTCAACTTTGTTCCTGTCGGTGTAGAATATCATGTAAATAAGATTTAACAAATTTGACAGTTGCTAGTCTGTCAAAGAGCAAACTGTTGCTGCACAATTTGGCTCATAAGGAGATTCTGGAATATCAGGAAGTGATGAAAATGTATTCTTAGTCATTCATAAATTACCTTTTAAGACAGAATGGAAACCTCATGCCATGGACCTTCTATAATGGAAAAAATGAGATAGACAACAACAGACCTCAACCAGACAGGGAAATGACTGAGCTCGGTTTAAATGTTACTAAAAATAAAAAACTTTGAAAAATGCACTACGTTACTACTTCATGATAAATGACTTGTTTAGATTAAACGACAAAAAGATAAATATACTCAGTTGGGGACTTTAAATTACTAAAGTGTTTCATATTCTCTCTGAATTAGTATGATTGTCGGTCACAGTTTCAGTTTAATGTTGATCTCTGATATTCACTAAGATCACTTGCTAGTTCAGGCAAGCCAGGTGACAGCTACTCTGAGCCATCATCTACCTTGACTGACCATTTAGCAGCTTGTAAATCCATAATGGTAAGATGTGATAAATTCCACCAGTGTGTAAAAGTGTTGAGAACTGGTCTATCTCCTGGAATGCAGCATTTTCCAGTTTCATTCACATCCCTAGATCACTCACCTGTACTTTACTTACAAGCAGAGCAGCTGTGCTGTCCAGTACAGCAGTACACAATAGTATATGGCAATTGTACTGCTTCATTTATTGCATGTATTTTCTAATTCCATTTTACAAAAACCAAACCAAAGAATAATATTTGGTTAACCACTTCTCCAATGGAATTTTGACTGCATCTTTATTACAGAGTAAACTAAGCAGTATTGTGTCTATGCAGAACAGCTTGTTAATATTAATAGTAGGCTGTGGGTCAACTGCTTCGATACAAAAATTTCATCATCTTTTCTCCTCCGTAAAATTTCATGTCTTACTCTTGTAGAATAATCTGGAAAATGCATTTATCAAAGACTTGCAGATAGCCTTCCGACTAAAAAAAGTTCCTATAAAACAAAATGATCTATTGACTCTGGCTTTTATTTAAAATTACACATTTATCTTGTGAAATTGAGCCTACTATTACATGAAGCAGTATTTGATTAAATGAATAGGAACATGTACACTGAAACTTCCTCCAAGAATTATTTGATAGGACTAAACTCTGCGGTTTTGTGAAAGAAGAAAAAAAAAATGTATAGGAATTGCAACTACAGCAACAGCATGAAATTGCCACAAGAAGCTACAGGAAGTAATACTAGTTTTTATGGGATGGAACACACTCACCATGTTTAAAACTGTGATTTTGAAAGAGTTTCTCAAACCACTGAAAGGCTTTGGAAAGAAGTTCTGTTGAAAATCACTGGAATTTCTGCTCTTACTTACTGGACTTTACAGTAAAGGGGGGTAAATTTTACTCCTGAAGTTCAGGAGATCCATTTTGCAGACTGCATTGACACTAGAAATCAGTAGCAGTAACATCAATTTCAGTGGAAGTTCAACCTAATCCTTGTGTAGTTTTATTGTCCCAGGTTGTGCACATGGAAGAAAGCACCTATAGCCTCTCCTATTGAAAATCTTTAATGGATTGTTTCACAAACAGACTTTGCTGTAATTTCATGTGTTTTTTTTTTTAATGTTTCATTTCTGGCAACACATCTTGAATTTTGAAATGGAATTAACCTGTTTTCTTCAAGTAATATAGCATTTTAACTAATGTGAATCAATATGAGACTGCATATGATCTAATGCTATGGCAGTTCCTTTTCAGAAAGCGAGCCCTCACTTTTAGAATTCAAACCATTCAGCAGTGGATCCCTGGTTGGTGGATTTGTCTATCGAGGCTGTCAGTCTGAAAGACTCTATGGAAGTTATGTATTTGGAGACCGCAATGGGTAGGTTTCTTTCAGCTCACACTTAAACAAAAAATGCCTATAGAGTATATTCAGCCACTCAGCTTCCTATATGAAGGAACACTAAAAGTCTTGTATATTGTGTCACTTTGCCAGGTTAGCACGGTGATAAATGCAGATTAAATTCTAGATTTGGAAATTAAATAGCACAGCATTCTAATGGTGACTTTCGTAACATAGTTAAGCCTTGCAAAAAAGTGCAAAGAGACTGACATCATGGTCCTCTTAAGATTTTAGTTCTAGATATGCTTACATGCATCTTTTACACTGTGATGGGAATAATGTTAATCATGGAACTGTTTCTCAAACAAACTGGTAAGACATTGAAAACTTTGGAGGTTTTATGGAAACATCACTGATGGAGCAACATGAATGTTTCTGTAATGAATGGTCATAGTTTCCCCATACCAGATAGCTGAATATTCACAAATGGTTGTGTAGTATAGCTTGAACACAATTTTGCAATGTTTGAATGACTGGGTGGCTTTTAAGCATCTGAAAAGTAAATCATAAGACAATGAACTGCACAGATGTATCTATGGAGCTTCTTGCAGAAAGTGTTTACTTATTTATCTGAACAATGAAGACTATTCAAAATGTAATATAACAATTTGTTTTATGTGTTCTCGAATATAGAAATTTTTTAACACTGCAACAGAGTCCTGCAACCAAACAGTGGCAAGAGAAACCACTCTGTCTTGGCAACACTGGCTCATGTAGAGGTTTCTTTTCAGGCCCTGTCTTGGGATTCGGCGAAGATGAATTAGGTAAATACTAAAAAAAGTAGTTCTTAAATCATAAGGCTTATCGGTCATGCCTGTTGAAGTATTCACAATTCTAGTAAATGTTTAAAAAGAAGGCTATCTTTCCTTTGCCAAAGCTGTCTACACTGCTCTCAGCTACACCTCAGCAGCCTTGTAAGAAGAGTGGGGAAGAAAATGTGGGGTTGGAAGAGTCAAAGATCCTTATTGTCTCTCACACTCTGTTAACTGTGTCACTCAGTATGACACAACGTATTATATTTATTCCTTTATTCCCAACATTACAGACTTAATTGGCAGATTGCATGAGCAGACTGAGCCCCTTCTTCTCCCTTCCTCACAAATTTTACCTTTTTTAACCCCTTTATACTATATGAAAGGCAAAACACTCAGGATAGAATATTTTTTCACATTTTAGCATCAATTTGGGGAGAGTACTTCTATAAATTTTCAAATAGCAATGATTCTGCTGTATATTTCAGTGTTGAATGTTTCTTCTGAAGTTTTTTTTAATCTCATTTGGCAAATACAGCTAGATCATAAAAGTCCTGTATTTTCCATAGAAAAGGAGAATTTATTTATTGCATTGGCTTTCCTAACAGGTGAGATTTACATATTATCCAGCAGTAAAAGTATGACACAGCCTCACAGCGGAAGACTCTACAAGATTGTTGACCCAAAGAGGTGAGCATTGCATTTTTCTTTAAAATCAGCCTTTTCTTCAACTGGTTAAAAACCAAAAGGTAGCTGTAGTTCTTTCTGCATGGCTGAATTATGTAATAGTGACATTCAATGAAAAAGGGATGCTCTTGGTAGTTCTGAAGCCAAATGGGTTTTAGGTACCAGATGGAAGGCATATGCTGGAATTCTTCCCAGTGTTACTGCTTCCTTACGTGCCCCTGTGGTGGGACAGTGCACAACAGGAGCTGGCTCAAAAGATTAGTACTGGGTGGCAACACCTATTCTAAGCAACTACAGAAAATTACTTTACAATACTACCTTCTATCAGTTTTGCCCTAAGTAAGTTCTATGGGACTAGTTCAGGCTTTCCCAAACATCTCTTTGGTTGTATAGGAGATACTACCAATGGGGAATAACACAGAGGACTCACTCAGTCCTCGGGGGTGTGAAGTGCCACTGCTTACTAGTTTTCAACATCCTTACATACCCCTGCATTTACCTGTCTCTCCCCAGGCAGGTTTGGAGCCCCAAGGAAGGAAATTCTTTGTCCTTGGGCTGTATGCCAGAAATACACAAAGTTCTTTAACAGTTCTTATAACTCTGCTTCTAAAAAGCTTATAAATCCTGCTCAAGTGATTTATAAGACACAGATTTAATAAGATTGGTCTAATTATTTAGACTAATTTACCAGTTGTAAAATGAGGATAAATTAAAATTATCAAACCAAAGTTTCCTGAGGTGTGATCATTGCAGAGCAGCTAGAGCTATGAAAATATTAGAAAATATGGAAAAAAAGCCAGTTCCCAACATGACCCAGGGGCCACAGCAGCAGTAAGATCTGATGACTAGCAGATACTCACTTTGGCTTGGGGAATGCCATTTTCTTCGTGGTGGATCTTGCTGCTCTATCAGACCAAGTCTGCCAAGTAAAAGTAGCACATTCATCCTGCAAAAGCATCAGAAATCAACACAAAATGAAAGAGCCAAGAGAAATGAAGTTTGTTGTATAATTACTTTGATCCCATCATACCCTGCAAAAGCAACTGCCTATTTTTTCATTGTCTACTTCAGCATGTTTCTCCAGTAGTATCAGATACAGTCAGATTTGCAACTTTGGTTTTGCTGTTAAGAGAAGAATTTGTTTTCCTGTTGAACTAAAATTCTAAAAATTGTTATTGGGACAACAAGTGAATACAACAATAAAATCATGAAATTGGATGCACGCTGTACTATAAGATACAGGAGAGTTTCAGTGTTTTATAACTGTACTGTCTCAAAACTATAGCAAATAGTCTGGAATCAGATGTTACCACAGGTTAGTGTAGTCTGTCAGTCAAGGTTATTATGTATGTTTTATTTATGCTTTCTGGTACTGAAAACATTTTTTTTAGAACAAAACTTGCCATTCTTGCTGGGATTGTTTAGTCTGTTGGTAAATGGTTTTAAGTGAATTTTACACCCTAAATCCACTATTAGTATCTAATTACATGGGGCGACCTTGTTTGACCTCGACTTTTTGTTCTTGTTACCTCTTCCAGTAGGGTGGTCTTCAGTTGACATACCTGAAAGGCCAGACCTCCCATTGCTGCACTCACAGTTGGCTGTTTTTGTGTATGGAAAAGGGTCAAGACTGTGTTTGGTTACTGGTGAAAGTAATCAGAAAAACTATAGAATACTTTTGTAAATTGGCACACAGATGAAATTAAACAGGCTGTGGCAAAGGGATATGGTTTCTGGCAACCTTTTTTTTAGACACATGGGATAATTTTCGTTCAGACAAAGTTTTGAGTTTTGTTGTTTTTCAGTCTCACACCACTGCAGGCTTTTAAGGGAAAGATAATGAGTTACTTCCACAAAAGAGAGCTGTAGCTCCATTTACCATTTTGTGCTAAGTTCCTATTACCCATGTAAACAACTTTTTAAAATTCCATGGCTTTGGAGAATATTCATGTACAGTTTTATTAATGAAATATTATTATTCAAATGCTAATATTCTTTTGCCTGTTAATATTTTATTGCTTCTTTCTCATGGTGTGCATCATACCAATACAAAATATGTCTGTAAACCCTAGAGTATATATGTAAACCCTAGCACAGGAAAGATGATACAGGTGGACTATGAGCATCACGCATAAATAAAATCATCAAACTATTGATCTTTCATGTCTTAGAAATTCATTACTTAATAACAAAATCCTGTGAGAGGTGGCCCCTGGCAGGCTTGTTAATTTTCAAAGAAAACTTCCCATGCCTGGGGCAGTGTAAAAGAACAAAATTATCATTCCTTGTGGTAGCCTCTTGCTGAAAATCAATACCTTCATGCAAAACCCAGCCTTCTTCTGCTATTGGTCATTTGTGAGCTACTCAAGCTTGCAAAATTATTCTTTTGTTTTAGATAACAAATTTTACATGAAGGTGGAGAATTTGTATTCTTTTGATCGTTGTAGAATCAGAGAAACATTAAAGTTGAAAATGGCCTCCAAAATCATCAAGCCCAACCTTTTGACAGAACACCACCTTCTCAAGTAGAACATTGCACTAAGTGCCACGTTGTTATTTCCTGAACAACTTCCAGGGATGGTGACTCCACCACCTCCCTGGGCAGCCCATTCCAATGCTTGACAAGTCTTCCAGAGAAGCAGTTTTTCCAAATGGCCAACCTGAACCTTCCCTGGCACAGCTTGAGGTTGTGTCCTCTTGTCCTGTAGAAAACTACTGCAGAATCAAAAGTTGTTCTCAACCATAACTATGACCCTGAGTTTCTTGTCTCAAATGTGTCTTAGGACAGAAATCTACTATTTGGATATTGCTAGCAATAGAAAAAAAATCAAAATGAAGCGGGCAGGATAAAACATGAGAAGGTCAGAAGATGAGGGTAATCCAAAGAACCCTTTGCATTAGTCTTCAATACTCAGCAATGGGAAAGTCCTATCTCAAAACAATCCTTGAGATGTAATAGAAATGAGGTGTTAAACTGAGGTTGACAAATTGGTAAACATGATCAACACAGAGGTTCTGAATCCCACGATCATTGAGGCTGTTTGAAATGTAGAGTTTAAGTTACCACAGAGGAATTTTTGTTCAGTTCCTCCAAATACTTCATGCCAATAACTAAATAGACTCCCATCAAAACCAGAGAGTGAAATAATCTTTCTTTTTGTAACAAGGTTGTTAAGACGATACATTAGTAATTGAGAGCTTGTAGATAATAAAGTGATAAAAAAAAGCCCTAAGCATGTGAGTTGCAGCAAAATACATATATACTACCTATTAACAAAAATAGAGTGAAGGGTGTAGCCAATAGCAAATTTAGCTTTGGGATTGGTGGAGATGTTGGAAACACTAAGAATTACAAACACATAAAACCAGCATGATGCCAGGCACATTAGTTAACCTGGCAGGCAAGAGGAGAACTTCTCAAGTTAAAATTGTGTCTCTGAAAAATATATCCATTTTTTGATGATTATCAAAAAACCAACACTTTCCAGGGATAGGAACTAGTGAGAAAATACAGGGAGAAAGACTTATTTTCTTCTCAACTAAAAGGGTTAGTCAGATATCCTGAAAATTGATGCAAATACTAGTATTTTATAAATTGTCTTTGTGACCGAAAAACAAAACCTTTTTATTTTGAGGTTTCCTAATTTCTGTTTCATAATTTTTCTTTTGTGCTTTCTGTTTCTATAAATACATACTTATAGCAATCACAAAAGACTGATGTATTCAAAGGTAAAATAACTAGGTAAACAGTGATGTAGAAAATGTATAGAGGTTCAAATATTCCAGCTGGATAATAGGAGACAACCCCATTAGAAAAGAAAATGTAATCATTTTTCCAGCATTATGAGAAGATAAAATCAGCTGTGAAAATGAACATTTAAATAAGAAAGATCTGTTGATAGGTCCATGTAGTCCATAACTTAAACATTATTACCAGACCAAGCAGTAAGAAAATAAACTTTGGGTGGTGGTAGAACAGCCACGAAGTAGCTTGATAAAGTCTTCTCCTAGAACACTTGCAATATGATCACTTTTATTTCTAAGGAAATGATAGATAAAATGAAAGACATTCAGAGAAGAATTCTCAAACTGACAGACAATACAGAAGTTTTCCAGTTAAAAGATGTGCTCTATCCCCTGTGAAGTTTTGTTTGCCGCATACAGTGATTCCAAAGGGGATGAGCAATTCTCTTGACCAGGATGGCTCACTGAAGCCAGCAGGTGATTTTTAAAAAGAGGACAGAGCTTAGGTAAGTCCCTGCACACGTAGAAAGATTTCCTCTTCCTCTCCTTATAACACCTTATAGATCTGGATTTCAGTGTGTTTCCTATCAACAGTCGAAATAGCTGCTTTCCATTGGGATGAAACTTGAACTTGATTCAAACCATCTCACCCCTCTTTCATGCCCCTCCAAGGTATATAATTCCACTTATGATCCTTTCCATCATCACCTTCTGGGATTTCCGCTGTCAGAGAATATTTCCAAACAACTGATTTCAAACACGAAGGGACAATATCTAGGTCATACCTCATTCTGACATTGTTCAGGCTCTTTAGGAAACCATTAGTGATTTTATTTTTTAGTACAAGTCAAGAGCGTTTGACAGTACAACAGAAGAAAAGCATTTGTGAAAGTGGAGCCCTATAAAAGACTTTAATTACTGTGGAAATGGAAACTCAGAAACACTAGCTATTAGACTAATTTGCGTCAAGATGCTCAGTTCTGATGGGTTATAGGTATAGTCTGAAGCTACTACTGGAAACTCTCTCTGGAATGAGCCAGTTTTGTTGGTGAATGCGCTCACCAAGCCAGGTGGGCTATATGATTTCTTTCTGTTCAGAAAATTACTGTCCCTTAAGTGATTTGAGGGAATGGAAAGCCAGAATTAATGTCTAATTATGTTTAGTTTAGCCAGAGCATGCAAAATTCTTATCTCATTTACCTACCCACATGCAGTTACTATTCCCAGAAGAGACACTAAGGAGAAATTTAAGCTTTTTG